TATATATATATATAACGTCAATGCATTGTATATTAATTATGCTTGAAACTTTTTTGGGGAAAAGTTTATATTTTCTCTTTAAAGAATTCTTGAATTTTGTTTCACTGTAATTTAAAAAATCGTAAGAACCGCAGCATTTTCCACTGTTCAACTTTATGTTTCATTTTGTTTTTTTCTGCTCAAAAACATTAAAACCTAAAATAACGAAAATGTGTGGGAAAATGTACAGAAAGTAAGATGGAATTAAAAAAATGAAATAATTTTTTAAAAATTATTTTTAGAATTATTTACTGTTAAACTTGTAGTAAAAGATACCATTATGGCCATTAGAACCAGTAAAATTCAATCATAGAGTTAAATGTTAACGTACTGAAAGGGGCCATATTTATTTGTGATCTTAACTTGATCTTTTTCTTTTGAAAATTTAAATTTGTTTAAAACTTATTGCAATTCTAAAGTCTTTTTTTCACGAGTTTTTTCTCACTCATTTTGACTTAAAGAATCTTTGTTTATTATTTAGGAAAATTTATTTATCTCCCCCAAGAATTTTATTTCATAAGCTGACAGTTAAGTTAAAATCAACAGTCACAGAAGAAAAATAAAAAGAATGAAATATTGTTGCCTGATATAAATCTTAGCATCTAAGTTCAAATATGTAAAAATAAAAAATCAATTCACGAGAGAGATAAATTATTTTTTGATTAAACTTTTATAATTATAACAGTCTCGCTAACGAGAAAAATTATTTATCATTTATTTCTTCTCATATGGTATTAGTATTGCACACTATGTATTCCTAAACTTAAGCTTTTTTTTTCTGTAGTTAATTAATATTTAAAATTCAGGAAATCGTTCATTTCGCATTTCATTGTGATTAACATATTAATAAAACTTTCTTATTTAAAATTATATTAATTATATATTTTATAAACAAAATGTTTTTATGTAAAATATGGCATTTTAAGAAGAAGAAAAAAACGATGAATGAGGATAAATAACAGGAGCGAGTAGAGAATAAAGCCTTCTAGTAAAATTGCAAAAATAATGAATTTCCCTTCCCCCCAACCATCTGTTACAGAACAATATAAGGTTTGCATTCGTCTAAAATATTTAATTTATAAAAAATTTTTTAAATAAGTATACTTATTATAACAAGTGTCATTATAACACTTGTTAAAATTGTTGAGCAATTGTTGTTTATGATTATCAATCAGGATTGATACCCCGATAAGAATTTGTAATTTTTTCAATCTATATCTTTACTAGCTAAAAGGTTAGCGCAGTGGTCGGCAAACTTGTTAGCCAAAGAGCAAAATATGAACATTACAACAATTTTTAAAAATATTGGGAGCCAAATCTGCTTGTTTAGTAAACTTTTATTACACTAAATAAGTAGTACACTAAATAAAACTAAATTTCATACTTAATAAATATTTATTAATGCGAACAATGTGCTTGCATCTCCTTGGAAAGTTTGAGTAAGTCAGGTTTGTATGTTATACATGCTTCCAAGTTCTCATCAATAAGACGACTTCTCAGTTTACTCTTGATAATGTTCATGCTTGAAAAAGATTGTTCGCATATATATGTAGAACTGAAAAGGGAAAGAACAGCGAACGCGAGCTTTTTCAGCTGATCGTAAGAGTCAGGAATACTATTCCAAGCGTTGAAATTGATCATGTCTTCCTTCTCCAGGTCATTCAAAGCAGACCACTTGTGTTGCGTACTAAGATTATCTTTTTTCTTCTCCAATATTTCCAATACAACACAAAGACGTTCGAATTTAGAGTGTCATATCTCCTTGTTTTTTAAATCCAGCAATTGTATTTCAAAGCTACCAATGTCAATTTCAAGAGGGAAATTTCAACTCGGTTATCGTAGCATTAAGAGGATTTTAATTTATCAAAATAAGATGTAATTTTTTTCTTACCAAGTTTTTTTTTAAATGAAAATATTATTGCGCCTTCCGTGGATATTTGTGTCAGAGCCACACTTTTGGAGCGAAAGAGCCACATGCGGCTCTGGAACCGCACTTTGCCGACCACTGGGTTAGCGTATACTTTGTTCTGCATAGACTAAAGTGAAAAACAACGTGAATAAAGTATAAATCATGTGCAGAAATAAGCATACTATTTCGCCTCTCTAGACAAAAACTTCCCTCTGTCGTAACTCCAAATTGTGTTTAAACAGATGATGAACGGATGTTTTGAAATATTAAATAAGTACACTTGTTTAAAATGTTGAGCAATTATTGTTTTTGATTATTGTAAGAGTTTAATAATGAATATTTGGATGCGTATAAAGTTATTTATGTATTGAAAATAAAGATGGTGGGTTGGCATCCATTTGCATATGTACTTATAAATGGGTTTGTATGTGTATTTGGATATAGTCATGATTGAAAATAGTTAAATGATTGAAATGTCATGATAAACAAGTTAATTCCGAAATATATAAAAGGTAAATAAAATAAATTAAGGGGAGCGGGATCGTTAATGAAAGTGGTAGTACAATGCAATTGTGGGATAACAATAACCCAATAGGTTCAAAGGGTCACAAAGCGTGAGGTTTGAACAAATTGGATGAAATTGGTATCACCAAATTTGGAAAAAGGGCGAAACTAAAATAAGTTAGATATTAAAGATAAAAACGATAAAGTCATGCTATATCCAGATACAATTTAACATTTAAGATAAATGGAATAAGCTGATGTTTCCAATATAATAATAGAAGGCATGCCCAAAACAATCAAAAGGGTACTCACCACACACAGGAGGAAAAAAGAGATAACTAACAGCAGATACAGACTAAAAATAATCACACAAATCACTCTATTCAGCTGAACATTTATTTTCATAAAACGTTTTGTAAAACATTATTTCGTAAAACAACTTATTTTGTTATTTCGTAACAAACAAACAATATAGTTCCAACGCATTTTGTGGCACAAAAAAAAAAAAAACAAATCTTTTAACAAGAAATGGGTGACAAGAGAATTTAAAGAAACCAAGGCGTCTTGCATAAAGTTAACATATGAGAAAACGAGTAATTTAATCGTTAAAATAAATATGGAAAGAAAAGCTTAAAATCGAGAAGGTTTTTCTTTTATGTTGAGGAAAATTGAAGGTATAAAATGTTGATTTTAAATTTACAGAAGTTGATTGTAGTTATGGATTCAAAAGAAATCCCTCGATACGGACCGAAGTCCGCATCTCAAGAAAAAATAAAAAGAACCAGCTAGAAGGAAGCACAAGAAAAGAATGAAAAGTCACTTAAAAATTCCTTAACTGGTATAGGACCAGAAAAATTACGGCCAATTAAATTTAAAGAGGCGGAGAGTGTGAAATTTAAAGGAAAGAGATTGGTTAGTTAGCCCCCCTGAAATTAAAAGAAGAAAAGAAAGGCGTGAATAGAGGGGTTGGTTGACTTTCCCCACAGGAAGTGCGAAGACCGCAATGACCACGAGAAAGGTCAACAAGAAAGTTAAAATTGCTAAATTGAAAAAAAAGGAAAACGTTTAAAGAAAAATTAAAGGCTTAGGTGAAATTAGAAATTAAAATGTCACATTACATTAAGTGACAATTAACAATCAGGATTGATACCAATAAGAATTTATAATTTTTTTAAAAATCTATATCAATACGACCTAAAAGGTTAAGGGTATACTTGTGCCGCATTGACTAAAATGAAAAACAACGTGAATAAAGCATAAATCATGTGCAGAAATAAGCATACTATTTCGCTTCTCTAGAGACAAAAACTTTCCTCTATCTTAACTCCAAAAGGTGTTTAAACGGATGATATTATGTTATTTGGTGTTTAGACACTGAAGGAGGCTCTTGTCTAGAAAACCGAAACTATATGTCTATTTCTGTGCTTGATTTTTTCTTTATTCACGCTGTTTTCATTTTAATATGCCTAATATAGTAATTTGTAATTAAATACAATCTGAGAAACAAAACATGGAATCAGAATTTTCTTTTTTAATTTTTTTTTCTTTTTCAGCATTACTGTTAAAATGTGAATTACTATTAAGTACATTCGTTAGTTTTTCTGATGAAATTTTAACTAGGTAAAAATAACAAGAATCCAATTTTTTTTTAATATTAAGCTCTCGTACAACCTGCATAGATAAAATTTTAAAGTTTTTTGTTTATAAGATTAAACTAGTCATTGCTTATTTTAATTGCGACTTTCTTCTGTTGAATCTCAATAGTGATGCATCCGATACTGATAATGAGAATTTTATGTTGTCTAAGAGTTAAAAAGTATGTTAAAAATTATAATTAAAAACTGACTACAGAAACTACAGAGTAAATCAAAGCGAAATATTTCGCTTAATTCTAGATATTGTAAAAAAAAATAATAATAATAACGTATGCATTTAAAGATGCATAGTAATATGAATGGGTATAATAAGGTGTCTAAATTTTGTTATAATATGATTACATTTAAAAATTTCAGAGTAAAAATTCTAATTTAATGTGTTAAAATGCATGCAACAAATATTATATTCATGTTCATTTCCTTTGCAGCCTGGATTTCTTCTAGCCTAGTCTTTCAGCCTGCATTTATAACCAGAGTCCTAGCCTGGCTGTGAATGGAGTCATATGCATTTGGTGTGATTGCTTGCGTCAAAAAAGTGTCAGCTAGCAACATATTTCATTATTAAAAAATTGACATTCGTAAAATTTGATTTTACCCACTTAAATATTGAAGCTACAATTCCAGGAAAGAAATTATAAGTGAAATAAAATGTCGAATGAAATTGAAGACAGTTCAAAAATCTGCATTTCATGCAGTAAGAGCTACACAACGCCATCTTTTATCATGAATTTAGGCAACTGCAACCACGATGTTTGCAAAGTCTGTTTGTATGATAATAACGCCAAAACTGGAAGCCAATCATGCCCATATTGCCAATATCCAATAGCAGAACAGCAGCTTGAAATGATACTGAAATGCACGCAAGATACAAACGGTTGTTTAGAAGATATATCCTATCAAAAAATTTACCAATCTGCTGGAGGTATCCTTGTTCGCAGAATCGATGGCATTGTGCATTATTTAGCTGTTCTCCAGAAACGATTTAATATGGATCTGCAGTGGGTGTCCCCTAAAGGTCGATTGGAGGGAACTGAAACGTCTTTAGAAGCAGCTAAACGAGAGATTTCCGAAGAAGTAGGATTGCAGACACTAACATTAATTGATTTTATTTGTAAGCAGTGTTATTCCTACACAGAAAGTGATAAAATGTACAAGAAGACAGTATTTTGGTATCTTTTTAACGTTGAAGAACCAAATGAGTTGAAGTTGAACGATGAGGAGGGGTTTATTGAGGGAAAATGGTTGTCTTTTGAAGAATGCCTTAGTACATTTTCTCATGAAACTTTTATCGAGATTATCAAGATGGCTGATTCTGTATTGAAAGAATAGACTGTTTTGCTTAAAATATTACTGAGGTATGTCACAGGAAAAAATAAAAATAATGTTTTAACATAATGTAGCATTATAATCTATATTTGAAGAAATATATATTTATATATATACGTAATAATATTACAGGCCGATATTTAACAAGTAAAATTATTATTAGATTTTCCTGCATAATATTGTAAAGACATACCACAGGGAAGGATATCTATAATATTCAAACATATTACAAGTAGTAAACATTATATTTATAAGAAAAATATTCGTAAACTATGCGTTTCATAATTACGCGTAAGCATTTAAGTCTATGTAATGTCTTGTGAGATGTAATTTACTTAAGCAAAGCAATGCTTTTAGCATTATAAAAATCCGGGAGCACTTATAATTTTATAGCATAAAATAAAACAACCTATTTTTTATTATGCATCTTCTTCAGTGGTACGGCAGCCCTGGGTGGGCCCTGGCCTTCTCAAGAATTTTCCTCAAGGTCTCTCTATCTTTGGCCATGGTCTTTTAAATAATTACTTTAAAATGGCAAGATCCCTTTCAGACAGTCAGCCCATCTGAGATTGTGTAGGGCAGTAGCTCTTGTTTCAGAGGGCTGGCCAAAAATATTTTCTGGGTTGAATGCTCTTTGTTCATTCTAATAACATGACCAGTCTATTTAATTCCTTGGAGTTTTACGTATTTGATGACGTCGGGTTCTTTGCTTTCACGATAAAGTTCTAAATTTGAGCATAAGCCGTGCCATAAGCCATCAACTTGTATTCCTTCAAAAATAGCTCTTAGCATCCACCGCTCGCAGACTCTAAGAGCGTTTTAATATTTTTGTGTCATTTTGTCACTGTCGCATTTGAAATTAATAGCTTAGTCTTTCTCTTAATTAAGTTTGATTTTAGATACTTTTTTAATCTGTAAAAGTATCTGTTGACAGCATTAATTCGCTTCTGATGATGTTGTCAATATTACGCCCATAGCCCAGATATGTAAAGCTGTCAACTTTTGCAAATTTATGTGTAGCAATCCACAGGTGAGTATTAAAGTCTATTACTTTAATGCATTGCATGTATTTAGTTTTTTCCTGGTTGACTGTGAGATGTATTTTACTTGCCTCCTATTTCAGGGCTAGAGAAGCCTGTTTCACATCAGCAGGTACTCTTGCGATGATGTCAATATCATCGGCAAGTACAAAAATTTACACACATTTATAAAATATTTAGTTTCTGAGTCGCGAATGACTTTTTCTAATGTTATGTTGAAAAGTAAGCATGCCAGTGCATCATCCTGTCCAACCCCATCTCTAATTTCCATTGGCTCTAAAAAAATCGCCCTGAATTTTAATTCGTTGCATGATCATATACCTAGTGTATGGGCAGTTGGACTGGGCTATAAATCGATGTATCGAGACATATCGATTTAACGTATATATCGGCAAGACGACACAGCGACTTTCATTCAAGGCGATGCATCAGAAATCTGATTTAAGCCGTCGAGTAAAGACAACGAGCGCAAAACGATATAGCGATATAAGACACGCAAGGATATAAGAACGATATAGCGATATAAGACTCTTCTCTTACGTTCCGATGTCGACTCGCGCTGTGGAAAACGATGTTCGTTTCGTTATGTTGAAATGGCCTTGATTGGTGAGCTGTAGAATCAGAATCAGAGTTTTGAGAACACATATCGTTATATCGCATGTTCCTTTTCGCACCTCTTAGCTTTTTTTTTC